GTGTGTGTGTGTGTGTGTGTGTGTGTGTGTGTGTGTGTGTGTGTGTGTATCCTTTCACCTTTTTGTGAACTCTTTAAGTTTAGTGAATAGTTTTCTTCAAGGTTTCATTAGGAACTTTGCCAGAGGCATCTTTTAGAGGCTGCTGTCTGTGTGGCTGTGGAGGCCATGGCTAACATTCCCACCCTGTAGCAGGATGGGACAGAAATGCTGAGCAGTTGTTGGCTCCTGTTTTAAAGTGTGCTTCCACTGCAGGACTCATGCTCCAAGTATAAAGAACATTGTTCTTTAAAACTTTTTGCTCCTTTTATGTATTTTGCTGTTGTTTTCTCCTTTGCAGCTAAAAATCTACCATTAGTAAACATCCACATATGTTCATAATGAAAGGACACTTAGTTTTTTTTTTTAAACGTAATTCAAATAATAGCAACAGACACATTAGAGATCACACATAAATAAATGAAAAATCTTTATGGCTTGTTAGAAAATGCTTTTTCCCCATGAGATTTCATATGTTAAAACGCACTTTAACTATAGTCTACTTTCCATGGCTCTTGAACTTATGAGGGATATTAAATATGATATTAATAAGTCCCATCATTAAAATGCATTAGAAAGCATTGAAATGCATTTATTGTTTTGTTTATCTCCAGCTTAATAATATAGACTGTAGCCATTTCTATGAATCTTTCATACCTTAGTCTGCTGTTTCTCCTGGTTGACTGCGTGTCTTCTTTCAGCCGCCCACACAGAATCTGCCTATGGGTCCTGGCGGGATGAGTCAGAGTGGCCCTCCACCCCCTCCCCGCTCTCACAGCATGCCTTCAGATGGAATGGTGGGTGGGGGCCCTCCTGCACCACACATGCAGAACCAGATGAACGGCCAGATGCCTGGTAAGTTTTTCTCCTCTAAGACATTAACACCAGAGTTGCTTAGCAACTGAAACGACATGGGGGCTCAGGGGATACTAGATTGTTGATGACAAAACTGCTTTGAATGCCCCCGAGTCCAGGAACTCTTCGAGTTTGTTAGCTACAGAGCTACGTGACCTGTATTCAGTGTTTATCAGGCCGCCCTTGGGCTTTGATGTAGCTGACACACAGCATTCCTCTGATGAACAGAACTGGCTAAATTTAGTCTGTCTGAAACTATGCAGTACAGTTGGTTTTAGGAGCTTTTCGGGGGGGAAAAGGATTGTGCATGGCCTAAGAATTGAAACCTGTTTATGAAAAAGTACCATAATGTTTATTTACCTGAAAATGATTGATTCCTCAGAAACAGGAACACTGCAAAGAACAAATGGGAACAGCATTGTTCCTGCAGTACTGGTGCATTTAGTTTCTTCTTGCAGATATTTCTGAAGCCAAATCTAGCTTCTTGTTAGTAGTATATTTATAGAGTATCATCAATGTGGGAATTGGTTTAGAAGCAGTATTAAAAGCTGAAAATCAGTATAAGTTTTCTTACGTGTTGAGCCATTCCCTGTATCCATTCGAACTTTAGGATCAGTGTAATAGTTAACTTTTTAGTCCATCTGAGTGTTTATCTAGTTACCTTTTACCAAAAAGCATATTTAAATTATTTTGTTTTTATAGCAAATATTCTATAGCATAAGTTTTGGTAAACAGTATTCCAGCTTTAATATGAGAACATTTTTACTTTCTGGAGACTAAGATTGTTTTTATTAGCCAAAAAGAAAGGAGTACCGTTCAGTTAACAATGGAGTAAATTAGCAGCCTGAAGTTAACATGTACAGCATAGTTTCCTATTTGGCTGGCTGTATCGTTGGTTGCATTGGTCCAAGGATGATGGACATAGTAAAAGAAACAGGGAGAGCACTGAGCCAAGAGACAAGGTAGCCTGGTTTAGAAGATTGGTGTGCAGCTGATAATGCAGGAGGTAAATGGTGTTTCTGTGGTTCTCCTCTGTTTCCTGCTAGGACTTGCAGCGTTGATGGCCCACACACAGCATGGAGGCGGGAAGAGAGACATAACTGCTTTCTAGTTTACAGTTAGGCTGTAGTGGAGAGAAAGCTGCTTGCCAAGTCCATTTCTGTATCTACAACATGCCGCTTTAGAACTGGACGCAGTGCTCTGGTTAGCCAGGTTAGCCGTTTGGGAGCTCTGTGACTTTCTGTGGTGGAAACTGATGAGAATTCTTATCCAACTCTCCAGATTACATTGAGACTTAAGGCCAAGGAAGCAGCCGAGAAGCATGTACCCACTGTTAGCATGACATGCTGGTTTATTTATAAAGGTCTATCTAATAGAGATGTTTTTTTATTAAAAAATTTAAATCTTATATTTAAGAGAGGCCTGTGGACCTCTCTTCTGTCTCTGGAGGGGTGCTGGGATTTCAGGGGTATGCTGCTGTGTCTGTTTTTGTTTTGTTTTATTTCTTGAGACAGGGTTTCTTTGTGTAGTCTCGGCTGTCCTGGAACTTGCTCTGTAGACCAGGCTGGCCTCAAACTCAAAGAGACCTTTCTGCCTCTGATTCCCAAGTGCTGGGATTACAGGCGTGTGCCACCACTGCTGGGTGTGTCTGGCTTTTTTATATAGATTTCAAGCAGCAGGTTTACACAGGAGTAAATACTTTCACTTGCTAAGCCATCTATCCCACACCCATAAGTAACTTCTTTCTGAGCAAAGATTATCAACTAATGAAGAGAGTTCCTAGAATTCTATAGAGCTTCTAAAATAACACCCACTGCATAATTCAAAGTATGTTTACTGTTTGATGTAGGAGAAATTAGAAGGCCAATAGTTTATATTTTCTTCTATCTGTTTTCGATTTCCCAGCATAGTTTTAATAGTTAATTTATATAATCTTAATTCCAGGGCCACTTACATTGTTTGATTTTGGCCAAATTATCTGTTAGTCAAAGCTATTTTCTTTTAATCAGATTTTATCAAAGAGAAATTTTTTTTGTTATTGTTGGTGTTTGTTTTTTTGTTAAGCCTAGAAAGTAAAATTCACATACCTGTGGATCCAAAATTAAAAGGCACACAAGTTTCTGCACCCATAGTCTCTCTGTGTGCTTAGCTCTGGGTCTGAGAAAAAAGAGGGCTCATGTAATTTCTGATTTCCTTCCTTTCCTCCTTTCCTCCTTTCCTCCTTTCCTTCCTTCCTTCCTTCCTTCCTTCCTTCCTTCCTTCTTCCTTCCTTTCTTCCCTTTTCTTTCCTCCCCTTCTCCTTCTCTTCCTTCTTCCTCTTCTTTTTTTTTTTTTTTTTTTTTTAGAAAATACCCTTTATATAAACTTTCCATTCAATCTATAGAACGCTGCCTCATCCTTTGTTAAATGAAACAATGTTGTGCCTTCATTGTATGTCTATACCGGGGGGGGGGGGGTCTGAGGAAGCCAGTGGAGGGCGTGGGATCCTCTGGGACTCTAGTTACTGGCAGTTGTGGGTGCTGGGAATCAAACCCAGGTGCTCTGGAAGATCAGTCAGTGCTCTCTCTGACCCACTGAGCTGTGCCCCCAGGCACACAGCTTTTATGGCTGTATCTAATCTGCATGCTGGGTTCTAATGAGGGAAATGAAGTTTATAGTGTTTATGGTATGTCTTTCCACAGGTGTATGTTCTTGCATATATATGTGAACCTCAAAACTTTCTACCTGGAGAATTCCTAGAGCTTAAATTATTGGATGAGAAGTGCGTTTGAAGCTGGGAGTAGTGGTGCTCGTGTGTAATCCCAGCAATTGAGAGGTGCAGGCAGTAGGTTCAGGAGTTCATGGTCATCCTTTGCTACATAGTGAACTTGAGGCCAGCCTGTGCTATAGAATAATTCTGTATGGTAAACCAAACCAAAATAAACCATTTTAAAATTCACTACTCATTGCAGATTGCTCTGTATATAAAAGCAGTACTTACTTAGATTTGCGTTCTTTCAGCAGAGTATTAAAGTGTTACTTCATAATGGTGCTGGATCAGTGTTTTGAGACAGGGTCCCATAGAACCTAGACCACACTGATTGGGTAGAGTAGCTGGCCAGCAAGACCCAGGGATTACAGGTGTGTGTTGTCCCTATGTTTTACCCATGTCTGGGGATCCAAATTCAGGTCCTCATGCCTGAGCCATGTCCCCAGCTTCTATTTTAGGTGTTTTTTTTTTTTTTTGGTTATCTTCAAATTTATTTTTTATGTAGCTAAATTTGTCCATTTATTATGGCTCTGAGCTTTCATGCATACTTGAGGCCTTCCCCCTTCCAAGATTATTTTAAAAGCTTTCATGTTTGAAATTATCTTTTATGGTTTGTTTTTCTTTTAATATTTAATTTTTTGTACAAATGAAATTAGTTTTAGTGGAAGGAATGAGATAGGGATCCAACTGGATGTTTTTTCCAAATGTACCCAGTTGTCATTGCCCTCTTTGCTGAATTCTGATGGACATAAATGTTGCCATTGTTGTTTATCATTTACTACTGTCTGTATTTGGCACATTTTTATAGTCTTGTGCTTTGTTTACCTGTTACCTGTTTGTGTCTGCTAGCACCACACTAATCACTCCTCGAGTCTTGCTGTCTTGGCAAGCTAGCGCTCCTTCCTGATTCCTCTCTAGATAGTTCCTGCATTTCCAAGATCAGTTTCCTCATCTCTAAACTGGGAAAATAACCTTATACAAGTTATCTGACTTGTACCATCTACCTTTTTAACTCTCATTTTCGATTCTGACCATTTTTCTTTGAAGGGCCTAACCATCTGCCAATGCAGGGACCTGGACCCAATCAGCTCAACATGACAAACAGCTCCATGAATATGCCTTCAAGTAGCCATGGCTCCATGGGAGGCTACAACCATTCTGTGCCATCTTCGCAGAGCATGCCTGTGCAGAGCCAGATGACGATGAGTCAAGGGCAGCCAATGGGAAATTATGGTCCCAGACCAAACATGAATATGCAACCAAATCAAGGTAACTGTGTCCTTATCACCCCTACCCCTCTTTCCCAGCGTGAGCTCCTGTGCCTGGAGTGGCCTAGTTCTCTGTCTCTCAGCTCTTCATCTAGGTGTGGGACCTTGTGGGAGTTCTCTGCATATTAGTGTGTTGGCGCTGATGTCACGCTGGTCCTGTTAAGGTAGCCATATTATTGAGATGTCCTGGGGACACCTTCCCTGGGATAGCCAGTAGATACTGTCTAACCAGTTGTCCTGGGGCTCTGGCTCTTAAACATCATTGTGTTGAGAAAGGGATGCTTTTAAAGACGGATTCCCATCATGTAGTCAAGGCTGGCCTGAACCGGTGGGAGAGCTGCCTCAGCCTCGCCTGTGCTGGGATTGCAAGCATAAGCCTCAGCTTGTCTTGAGTAGAGGGCTGTGGCCCTGTTGATTTGTTTTGGGGATTAAAGACAGTCTGTTTTAAGTGTGAAGTGAGTTGTAGTTGTGCTCTTGAGAAAACAACATTGAGTTGACGCTACCTTGAGTCGTTTTGCGTTTAGAAATTAAATTGCTCAATCTGTCTCTTCAAGCTTGTTTGCCTTTTGCACATTTTATTTGGAGTTCTGTGCTGTTGAATTGTTTCATAATGCTAGTCACTGGGTAAGCCCGCGCTTTGTTTCATTCTAGAAAACTGGGGTGTACAGTATGCCCCAGACTGGTTATTTTCACGTGCTGGGACACTGCTGATGACTTCTGAGGATTCTTCCTGTGTTTGAGGCAGGGGTGTCCTTCTGAAGGATTTGCCTTCTTTTGGGTGTTGAGGGGTTGCCTCTGCACCTCTGCTTAGCATGCTGGAGGGCACCCCATTTTATTGCTAGCCTTAGTGAAGCTGTTACCATGTTTCTCTTTTAAGTACCCTGTAAATAATAACTAAAAACCAGTAAGTGGCGCTCTGTTCTGCTAATTGCTATGTTAAAGCATCTGGCACACTGCCACCTTAAAGCTGTTTCTCATACAAAATGTAGTGAGCCTCGAATTTCATGATTAAAAAAATCAGATCACTGAAAGGCACTCAGATAAAGGAAGTGTTAAAATTACTCATGATGAAATATTATAATTTCAGACCACTAATACAGTCATAATTTTGATTAGGGTGCTCCAGTCATCTGGGACCTCTTGGATCTAGCAAGTTTCACTAAAATTTTTTGTTGTTGTTTTATCATAAATAGTTTTTTAAATAAAAATAAACTATATATTTTACCTTTTTTTCTGTTCAGACTTAAAAACATGGCAGAGATTAGAGGACAGTACATTGCAAATAGTTCTTTTTTAGAAAGCTTGAAAAATTCTAAAACATGAAAGGGAACATTTACATATTCACCTCTTAAAAATCTCTCACAGGAGCCGAAGTCCTGGGTCCAGTCTCTGGTACTGCCTTGCCCCCAAGTCTCAAATTTAATAATTATTGCTTTAGGGGGTTTTGTTTTATTTGCATTAAACATGACAAAAATCCTTGGACAAGCGCCATATTTTCATGTTTATTTTTGTATCAAAAAACACTAGATAAATGTTTAAAAGTACTTCCTGCTGTTTTCTCTTGGGGGTTGTTTGTTGTTTTGCTTTGTTAATATTTGTTTTATGTGTGTGAGTGTTTGCCTGCCTGGATGCCTGTGCAGCATGCCCGTGCCTGCTGCCTCTGGAGATCAGAAGAGGGCATCCCCTGCAGCTGGAACTAACGGACAGTTGTGAGTTAGCACGTGGATGCTGGGAACCAAATCCAGGTTCTCTGGAAGAGCCACCTCCAGCCCCTGTGTGTTCACTTTGAGATAGCGTTTCGCTGTGTACTCCAGGCTGCCTTTAACGTAAATTCCTCTTTCCTCAGCCTGGTAAATTCTGGGGTTGCAGCCATGAGCTACTATTTTCTATTAATGGGTATTAATGGGGTTTTTGAGTCATGGAAACTAAATATTAATCTTATGTTTTTGGGTCAGGAACGTAGCTCACTGGTAGAATACGTGCTCTGTACATGTAACACACATGCATTTGAGAAAAGGGAAGGAATGAAGTTTCTTGTCAAGTGACTGATAACAATGGAAAAATAACAACTCAGTTTTGAAAAGAAGCGTAATTGAATGACATTGCATCATTTACTCATATATTTGTAATGTTTAATGATATTTTTACAAACTGTTCTAGTTTTCTTGTTGGGGCTGTACACACAGTTGCAGACATACAGCATAATTCTACCACTCGGCTACACCTCACCACCCCCTCCCCGAAGTGGCAGTGGTTTTCTGAACAAGAGCACTGCAGGAGAGTCTAAATGCCTTCACTCTAGTGTCTTTTCAGCTCATCTCCCTCCCAGTTCCCTTTGCAAACTGCAGTAAGAGTTCTGCTGCCCCTCCAGTATCTCTCTACTTTGAGTGGGAATCTTTCCTTTTGTAATTTTACTGGTTCATATGAAATAAATCTAATGTGTAGATGTTTTACTCATCTTCATCTTTCAGCTTATACACTGCTGCTTATCTGCTTAGGCCACACAGTACTGCAAGGGTTTGTGTTAGGACTGTGGAATGTTTTTGGACTTTTAATTCTTTTTAAAAAAATTGAAATTAATTTTGTAAGTGAGCACATAAGGAGCTGTATCCATCATGGTGTTGTCACATCTGCACTTCATTCCGTTGTTCTAACTTGCCCACCTGCCTGGCTGTGCCCAGACCCTCTGACTGGCCCCCGTTTGCTTTCTTGGCACAAGTGCTGCGGCCCTCTCCTTCGCTGAAGGATTTTGAGCTCACTTTCACTGTCCCCTTCCTACTTGGACCTCATGAGTAAAATCTGGTTTTAAATAGTTTGTGAAAAAGTTAACACAAAAGTTAAAAGTAACAAAATCACAAAACCTTGTTGCTAAAGTATGTCATTGTAAAGAGCTGCACAAAGCTGGGTGCAGAGCCAGCTCACTAGAACCTAGGGATGTGAGGCAGCCTGAGCCACTCCATTAAAATGCAGACCCCATGATACTGACTTAGTGTATGTCAGTAAATTTGTGGTTAAATTGAACGTTAGCAGCAGCTGGCTTGAGACACTGTTAGAACAGCTTGTGTGTGATAGCACTATAATCGGTGTCCACTCTTTGAAAAAAAACAGTTTTTTTAAAACTCAGTTACTGGGCTGGAGAGATGGCTCAGAGGTTAAGTACACTGGCTGTTCTTCCAAAGGTCCTGAGTTCAATTCCCAGCTTCCACATCGTGGTTCATAACCATTCATATAGTGAGATCTGGTGCCCTCTTCTGGTGCGCATGCACACAGGCAGGCAGAATGCTGTATAAATAATAAATCTTAAAAAAACAAAAAACAAACTTGTGTCTTAAAAAAACAACAACAACTCAGTTACTGAGCTATCATTTTATCAGAAAAGTCTCCTCTGAGCTCTCTTTGAGCAGATTTTAGTGTGGCACAGCTCACAGCCCAGTATATGCTTCCCCACACTGTTGCTGTTGCCCTCATCCCTCATTCAGCCATCATGTGGAGCCTTAACTGTGAGGGCAGTGTCAGGCCTACAAGGCCTGCAGGCAGAGGTGCCGCAGAGCTGAGAGCGAAGCGGCAGGAGGCACATGTGCTCAGTGCCCCACCCTTACTGCAGAGAACAGTGCTTGGGGTCCTGGGCATCACTTAGAACTAAATGTCATGTCATAATCTGGAAAGGTGCTTAATAAGCAAAAATAAGCCAAATTAGAGCAGAAACGCCTTCTGGAAATGGCCCACAGTTACATTTGCTAGAAGCAGTGTGTTACTCATTGAGAAACATTAATTGTAGCTTTCCTAATTTAATAGAGTTTTGTTCATTAAATGTCAGGTATAAAGTGCTTCACAAATTGTTGCTTTGTGCTAAATCGCTATATCCCTAACCCAAGCTACGTATTCTGATATCCATTCCCATGGCTGTGTTCTTAGGTAGACAGGCTTCTTTCACAACAGCTCGTAACTGTGCCATACACATCCAGAGTTTTTGGGATTCAGTCAACAACAGATGTTTACCAATGAATGTCTTTATTAGTCACTGTGGTGCCTAGTTCAAACTGTAGGTAAGTTTTTAAGGTGATGCTAACTGAAATACACCCTAGCTTTGTTGCTAGATTAGTCCACAACACACCCATTTTATTTTCAGTCACCAGGAAACAAAATCCATAATCTAGTTCTTAGTCTAGTTTGTGAAGATGCCTGTGAGGCCCATGAGGAAACCAGCTTTTCTCACCTCGCTGCTATTGACAGTTTTGAGGCTGTAGCTAATTCCCTGTTGTGGCAACTATGCAGTGTTAGTAAAGAATTGTTCAGCTGTGTGTCTGTCCTCTACTCACAGGCAGCAGTAGTGTCTCTTACCTCCTTTGAGACCACCAAAAATGTCTCCAAATTTTCTGAAGACAGTTACTATAAGTACTAGAAGTTACTATAAGTAGTGGTCTGGAAAGATGGTTTGTGTCTGAAGATGTAAGTGGGTGTGCATATGTCTGTGCGCGCATGAAGGATGTTTTTAAATAACACCATTTGAGAGTCCTCACAAATTAATCAACTGTTAGCCTCTGTAAGTCCCTGAGATGGTGACAATAACAGTCACATCTGCCCGTCACTTGGCTCCTAGCCTTGGCACTGGTACAAAATTTGCTTCTTGACAGCATTCTTCTGGAGATAAGGATTCCAGTGACATAAAGTGTAGCAGTTTGGGGCTTTTTTCCATGTGTTCAATGTAGAATTGCTGTTGTGGACTGTGTAGTAAGTTATAAAATTCAAAATGGAATAATGTGGCAATGGTGAATATTTGTTTTATGTCCTTTGCAAAATTCATGAAAAATAAATCCTAGGTTAATAAGTTATGATACATCTTTGTGTGTGTCTTACCATGCTTTGTAGTATATCTGATATGAAAATGATTTATGTAAAAACAAGGAATATTTGTGAAGAATGTTTGCTATTATTTGCAGAAATGATTATCTGTAGTAGATTTAATTTACAAGCCCCTTTACTCTGTAGTATGTACATTCTTAGAATTGGTAGCCTTTGCAATTTAGCTGCTTTATTTCTATCAGTGTGTTAAGGAAAACAGTATGTGTCCTAGACAATTAGGGTTGGGGTTTTAAACTCTTCCTGTGGATCAGCCTTCAGCGGTGGTGCAGAAGTGCCTGGTCTACACAGTGCCACCCTGTCACAGTCACTCTGATTTTAGACTGATCCTGAATGATGTTAGGGTCCTGGAGGGAAGTAACAGAGAATAAAGGGAGGTGATGATTGAGCTCCTTGTGATTGGAGTGGCTGGCAGTCCCAAGAGAAAGGGCTCAGATGGCACGGTCTTGCCCAGCTGTGGCTTGTACTGGAGTTTTCTTTCTCCTGGAAGAACTTTCAAGTGAGACAGCATTTTGTTGTGATAGATTTTTGTGGGTCACCCTTCCCTGGCTATTACTGTCTCATGTTTGGCTGCAGTTTACAGATGTGGTCTAACGCACTGTTACTTCTAAGCTAGGAGTTCTTTGGACACTTTTTTATAATAAAAATAAGGCAAAGCTTTTATTTCTTGAAAATGAAATTCTACCTAGTCAGGTTGACAATAAAATTATGAGCAATAGCATTATAAATACCTTATCATATAGGAAATAAAGGTTTTAAGTTCATGAGTAGAAAGGTGGTTAAGAACACTTGCTCTTCCAGAGGACCATGGTTCAGTTCCCAGCACCCATATAGCAGCTCACAACTGTCTGTAACTCCAGTTGCAAGGGATGCAATGCCGTCTTTGGACTCTAGGCATGTACATGGTGCACATCCGTACATGCAGGCACAACACTCAAACACACAAATTTAAAAAATATTTTGCAGTAAATTCAGTGAAATTTATGAGTGTTTCATTACTTCGTGTGGCAGCGTTTGCTCTGGCTCTGTGAACTTTGCTGACCGCTACTTTTGAGAAGTGCAAGTGAAAGAATGACAGAAGGAGGTGTGCACTTTGAACTTGAGGCTTGTTCCATAGCTGTGCACTCAAGCTATCTGGTCTTGGCCTCTGGGTTCCTTGCATGGCAGAGCGTCATGGGAAATGCCTGTGAAAGCTTGAGTGGCACCTGTGGGGAGCCCAGTGCTCGCCTCCTCACCACTCTCCCTAAGCTGTCTTCTTCCTACTGTGACAGAATCATTTCCGCATTGAGGAACCTAGAGTAAGCTTTGGAAAGCTCATATTTACAATAATGAAAATTGGAGAGAACAGAATTTGAAAAAGACAGACAAAGGTAATTAGGAAGAAAATAGCTCTGAAAAAGCATTTCTTTAGATGAAACAGTTGAGGGAGGTAAAGTTTTGGGCGCACATTGTCCTGGAAAGTTAAAGGAGTCGGCTTGCTTAGATGTTTGTTTAGGTTATTAATGAGCCTTCGGCTCGCCTGAGTCCCCAGCTTTCTGGGCTTTGCTTTGCTTTCTTCAGTCACTCCATGTTAGTAAAAGGAGTGCTATGTAAGTGGGCAAGATCTCTCTCTCCCTCTCTCCCTCTCCCTCTCTCCCTCTCCCTCTCTCCCTCTCCCTCTCCCTCTCTTCCTCTCCTCCCTCTCCCCCTCTCCCTCTCTTTCTCCCCCTCTCCATCTCTCCCTCTCTCCATCTCTCCCTCTCCCTCTCCCTCTCCCTCTCCCTCTCTGTCTCTCCTTCTCTCCCAGGGCCCGCTTACCCTCTTAGGCAGCATGGGAGGAGCCGGCCACTACTGGTCACATGACAGGTCTTCACTGTGCGCTGTGGCAGTGGTGCTTTGCTTCCCCTGGGTTCTCACCCTGCAGATAGTGGAGATCTGTTTTCTGAGCCCATGCCATTTTAGTCCATTTCCTGGTAGTTTTTAGGATGGGGAGACGAAGAGCAGGTAAGAGGGTTTAGTTATGAAGAAGCGCTGCAGTCTAAAGGCTGGATAGATGCTTCGGCTGTTCCCAACACCCACATAGCAGCTCACATGTCCATAACTCTAGATCAAGGGGGATCCAGTGCCCTCCTCTGCCTCCATGGGCATTCATGCACACGGTACACATACGCACACATGCAGGTAAAACACCCATATACACAAAATTTAAAAAAAAAAATGTTTTGAAAAGCACTGTGGTTCTTTGATTTCAAGTTTATAAAGTTTGTCAAAGCTTCGGGAAAGGGAAAGGTTTTTTGTTTTTGTTTGTTTGTTTGTTTGTTTTGAATTTTTGTCCTAAAGTTAAAGTTTATAAAACCCAGCTGATCTGATCTTATGTAGGTTTCTGCTTACCACTATTGAATAAATGTCTATTAAAAGGAATGAAAGGGAAGGGCCAGAGAGATGGCTCAGGGGTTAGAAGTGCTTGCTGCTCTTATGGAAGACCTGATGTCCGTGCCTAGCATTCACACTGGGCAGCTTATGGCACCTCTAACTCCTGCTCTGGGGAGTTGGTTGACCCCTTCCCGCCTCATTGGTCTCCTGCATGCATGTGCTATGTGGAAGTCATGCACACTCACATGCATACAAATACAGAAATCTATCCTCCTTCTGCACAGAAGTGTGAAATGGAAATCCAGAAGGTGGTTCTTTTGTTGGTTTGGCTATTGGTTTGATCTGGAACATTTGGAGAGTATTTTCACAGCTTTTCTAATACTACAGTAGGATGTTTTTGTCTATAGAGAGATGGTTAGATGATATGGTGTAGAAATGCATATGTTCAGGAAGAGGTTACTTATTGTCTCCATTTTGATTTTTTAAGAGACTCTTCAGGTGAAGCTGGGGGCAACAAGCAGGACTTGGGATGTTTTCCTTCCTTGCAGATGAATTTGGGCTTGTGAGCTTTGTGCAAAGACTCATTTATACTTGATGCCAGTGTTTTTTGTTTGATTGAACATTTTGTGTATTACGGTGTGAGAAATGCTTGTCTCTAAAGATGATGGAATGTTGTGCTAGAATACCTGTGATGATGTTTTCCATGTCCTCAGGTCCCATGATGCATCAGCAGCCTCCTTCTCAGCAGTACAACATGCCACCTGGAGGTGGGCAGCATTACCAAGGACAGCAGCCCCCCATGGGAATGATGGGTCAAGTCAACCAAGGCAATCACATGATGGGCCAGAGACAGATGCCTCCCTATAGACCTCCGCAGCAGGGTGAGAGGCCATTTGGAAAATTCCTTGCTTAATGGAAATATCTGTAATTGAAAGGCTTTCAATTTTAATGAACTTTTTATCTAGGTAAATCCAGGGCTTTTTCCCCTAATATCCCCAAAGGTAGCAGGGTTTAGGGTACAGAGGGTCATGAGGTATACAGGAGTTTCCCAGCACACAGCTGCCTTTTGTCTGTTGTCGTCTAGGAAACTACTACGTCATAAAAGTTTTCTATCAAAATTTACAACAGAAAATGCCCCACCCCCAGAAGCTACTAAATACATAACCAGTAACAGGCCAGTTTTACTTGAGAGTGCTCTGGCATTAAAGTAAAAAGAAGTCAGTTTCCACAGCTTCAGCCTCTTCTTAAGGGGTTGTTTTTCTGAGTTTGTATTGTTTGATATTATGTGTATGGTTTTATATTAATTTTGTAAGTGTGACTTGTGAACCTGCTGTGTGTGTATTATATGTGGAAATAATTAAAAGTAACAGACGTGCCAAAGCATTGGAGGGGAGTCTGCAGCTGAGGAAGTAGGTCTCTCATAACATCAGCTTAGAAAGAGCATCTTTGGGACATAGAGGACAAATGATTTACATCTTGACTGGTTGTGGTTTTTCAGGCCCACCACAGCAGTACTCAGGCCAGGAAGACTATTATGGGGACCAATACAGTCATGGTGGACAAGGTCCTCCAGAAGGCATGAACCAGCAATATTACCCTGATGGTAATCTCTCCTAATGTTACCCCTCCCGTTTTCTATCCCTGCCCAGTATTAATGTAGAAGGCATTTCACAACTTTTCCATGAGGGTGAAGAAGCTACCAACTTGTTTCTTCGTTTAGAAACATTTGGGTATTGTAGAGAGCCAACAGTAAGAGTCTGTTTGTAATTAATTCAAGGTGTATTTGTATAGTCACCGTTAGTACCATCAGGAGTGGCATTCCATCATTATAGTCTTTTATCATGTGAAAGAGGATCCTCTTATGTTTAGGATTGGTCATTTGAACCCAAAACAAATGGTACTGGTTTCTTCTCCTCCTCTTCCTTTAAATCTTTAAAGAGATTTAATTCACATGCTATAAAGTTGACCCATTGGTTTGCTTTTCGACATTCTGTATAAAGAACATGGCTCTGTAGAAGAGTATATGAATATTGCATTCTTGTGAAAGAACTGTGTCTTATATGTTTGCTTTTGAGAAAAGTTATGTCCAAAGTATAGCAATAGATAGGCACTGAATCGTACTGAAGAAACAAGACTTGTATTTTGAGTTTAGTGACTTCCCCTGCCTCCTTTAAACGGGAGGGTGAATTGTGAGGTGTTGACTCTACTGGGGTGCGACACGCTAAGAAAGTACATGTGATAGTGTAGACACACAAGTAGATTTTAATATGCCTATTAAGAGTTTTTTTGTTTGAAGATTTTTTACTTTAATGTGGAACAAAAATTAAAGCATATAGAAGTGTTAAAGTAATAGGTAATATTAATAGGTAAAAATAAGATTACATAGTAATTTGCCTTATATTGAAATGGTTTGCCAAAATATTTGTCTATATCATAAAATCTTTTGTTATTTTTAATGTAAATTATATGGCAAAGAAACCTGAGGCTAATATTAGGGCCCCTTGGCTAGAAAGGAATATGTATAAATCGGCAAGAAGATGGAGTTTGGTGTGGTACAAAAGTCATTTCACCTGCTGCTTTTTCCCTGTGTCTGAAGCATAAAGGTGTGTCTGCAGAAGACACTGACTGTCACCACTGCGGTGCTGATGAAACACAGAAGGCTGGTCCTCTTGAGCCTTACACACAACAAACGGGTGTTAATAATGATGGCATGTTTCAGTAATTCTGATTAGAATTCTGAATTTTTATCTCAGGGTTTTTTTGTTTTGTTTTGTTTTGTTTTTTTGGCACAAATAGTCAGAATATTGGGTTTTTTTCCTTTCCTTATTTCTTTGTAGATATATTAAGTATTTTTTTAAATTTAGAAACATTAGTAAGACAGTATGCTTACAAAAAATTAAAAGGTGATATCTATGTGGTAAACATAAGTAATCAGAGAATAAATGATCTTTCAAGACTTTCAAGTACATCCTAAGCAATTATGTTGAACTTGATGAGGTTTTGGCCCTGATATTTTCTGATATGTGAAAATTTGTCTTATTTTAAACCTTTCTATTCATAGTAGACACATTATTTTTGTAAATATTAAAATTTAGTTATTATAATTACTTGTGCTAGTATGTTCTTAATTTAAATGTTATCATGTTTTTACAGGTGTGTATAGTGTATCTTGACATGTATAGAGTATTCTGTTTATATCAACAGTCATGTTTTCTTAGTCATATTAGTCTCTTCTCATGTCCAGACAAGCATACCCATGCCACAGGATGGGTTTCCTGTCAAGGACCAGGCAGGAAACACTGTGGTCTTTGGGCCCTGTAGTCTTGCTCTCAAAGTGTAAACCCTTAATGGCAGCAAGAGAATAGTTGCAGGCCGTGCTTAAGTGAGTGAGCGTGATTGGATCACAGTTGAACTTTTATCTCTAGCAGGCCACTGGCCCTGGTATGCTGGTTGAGCACATCTTGCCAACTCTTAAAGTAGCTGGGGGACTTTCATACTAATGCAGTGGTGGTAATATTTATTTGTAACTATAGTCCTTTCTCCTAATTAGGCATTCTCCAAACATTAGTACCGTGTTTTAACAAATGAAAACTTACTTTCTATATTTTTCTAAAGGATAAGAAACTAGTCTAGATTACAGTGAAAGTTACTGTGTCATAAAACTTCAGGTGCTCTCCAACTCAGAAAATATGAATTTTATGTACAAGATACTCTAGAAATATTTCTAAAAATGTTTAAAATGATAGCATTAACAAATACATTTTTAACTGGGCATGGTGGTGCATGCATTTAATCCCAGGACTCAGGGAGGCAGAGACAGGTGGAGTTCTGTGAGTTTGAAGCTAGCCTGGTCTACAGAGCGAGTCTAGGACAGCCAAGGCTACACAAAGAAACCCTGTCTTGAAAAACCAGGGATTGGGAGGAAAATACATCTTTACTTGAACTGCACAGGCAGGTAGATCTATGAGTTCAAGGCCAGCCTGCTCTACATATGAATTCCAGAAAAGCCAGGATGAGAGACCCTATCTTTAAAAAAAAAAAAAAATATATATATATATATATATATATATATATATATATATATATATATATATATATATATACACACACACACACATATATATGTGTATATATATACACATATGCATCTGAAAATACTGTGAAACACTTGTACTTGATGCAGTAAAATGTTAGAGTGTTAAAAACTCACTTCAGCTTTTTTTCCAGGGAAAACCTAAGCACCTCATATATTTTGTGTTGTTTATAGCATATGCTGTGGCAACAGTGAGTGACCAGCATAACAGGGGTTTGATACGATATGATAATTTACATCCTTTGTTCATTCTGATTTGACTTGAATTACTCACATGTGAGACGCCTAAATGTTCTCAATTTTCTTTTTTAAAATAGAATTTAAGGGTTTTTTTTGCCCTCAGTGAGGATGATCAAAGTTAAAGAGAACGAGTGTAACATTTCTAAAACTACTGCTCTCTGCTCTGAAAAATGTGCACGTTATCTTACTGTGAAAGCATTCACATTGGTAAATACTTGCTAATGCAATTAAAACTATTTTTATGTATTTCCATTTCTATTTCTTTTTTTTTCTTTTCTTCATTTTTATCTTAAAGTTTAATTGTAGGGTTTTCACTCAGTGGCCATTAACGTTTCTTCCTGTCTCTTGTCGAATTGATGTAGGTCATAATGATTACGGTTATCAGCAACCGTCGTATCCTGAACAAGGCTACGATAGGCCTTATGAGGAATCCTCACAACATTACTACGAAGGAGGTATCTATATACCTTCACACACACACACATGCACATCCCTCCTACAGGAATGGCAGCTCTTGCCTAGGACGGTGTCTTCCCCTGCAGAGCTCTTGTAGAGTGCCAGTTGCTGGCTGTCTGGAAAGTTACAGGCCTTCAAAACAACCTTACAAATACTTAGAATGTGTAACCACAGTGTGTCATTTCTAACAGCAGTAAAAAGACTAAAACATTTAAAATGCTTTTTTGCTTCGTGGAAATTTCCTCTTTGACCATAAATCCATTGACCCCATTTCCCTCTACCCCGTGTGTGTGTGTGTGTGTGTGTGTGTGTGTGTGTGTGTGTGTGTATGCGAATGCATGTACGTACACATACATATGTTTATTTACATCTCAGCTTAGTGCCTGTAGGGAACAGCTTGCTGATCTTGTGTAGCTAGTGTGTGCTCTGTAGCTGTCTTTAATTTTGTCTTTTTTATTTTGTTTAGCATAGTCATGATCTTAGGACTGTGATGCTCCAGTAACTGCAATGCTCGTAATGGCAGAGGCGCTGAAAGAGCTGCAGTTCAACCTTGCACAGTTGGCTTTAACTGCAGTTTGTTTGGCCGAAATCCTTCTGTTTGGTTTGAGTTTTTCTTTGTTTTGTTAACTTTTTAAAAATCAGTATGGCATTCCATTTTGTTCTTGTATTGTTGGCTGTGCATCTTAGAGGGGAAACCCAAAAACGTTCATTAGGCAGACTTCTCAGTGCTTTGTTCTCCTCTTCTCCATCTCTTCTGTAGGAAACTCGCAGTACGGCCAACAGCAAGATGCTTATCAAGGACCACCGCCACAGCAGGGGTACCCACCCCAACAACAGCAGTACCCAGGGCAGCAGGGCTACCCAGGGCAGCAGCAGGGCTACGGTGAGAGTGTCTTTATCCTGCTTTTGGACCAAAAGGATGATGGTTCTTTTGAATATACTTGTAACTTTTATTTTACATTTTAAGCATAGAGAGAGTACATGGAACACAGTGCACGTGTAGAAGTCAGGATGACTTGTAAGAGTCTCTTTTTTTCCACCATGTGCGTCCTGGAAACTGAATTTGGCTTACCAGGTTTGGTGCCAAGAGCCTTTAGCCACTGCACCAGATCCCCGGCAGCCAGCTAAAGAGTGCACATCTGTAGTCACAGCACTGGAGAGATAGGCAGCAGGGTCCCTAGGCTCTCTGGCCGGCTAACTTTACCCCGTAAACCAGCCAGTGAGAGTCTTATCTCAAAACATGAAGCAGAGATTTAGCATGAGCACGCACACTTTAAACACAGACACACACATATAGGTGTTCCCCTTAGGTGAACTAATAAACTGTCCTGAAGAAACTACAGACTAGACATGGTATCTTGTTTAATGTTAATATGACAATTTCAAACAAGAAGAATGAATTTTTAGGTCTGTTTGGCATGTATGAGCAGGAAGTAGCTTTGTATGAGCTTAGACCAATGGAAATTGATATACAAGTGACGGTCCCTATTAAAAAATGTACACTTCTTAGGGCAGAAGGAAAGATCATTCAGAATGCATAAAGGCAATGTTTGTCGTTCTCATTAAAAGCACTGCTAAGGGTGTGTGTTTACTGAATTGGTACATCATACACAGTTTAGGAGAAAGTACAGCCGCGTTTCCTGTGAAATATTCATAGTGTGTGTGCTTCCTCTGTCCAGGATTCACATGGCCCTACTTTCAACACCAAAAAGCTGATCACAACATCTGGCTCTCAATCATTTTATTTGGTTATCCATGCATTTACACATAGGCTACGTCCGCCAGCTGCACAGCACTTGCCTGTCAGTATGGCGGCACAGATGCTCTCTTTTTCATGAGCAGTTACTTTGGACCGTTGGTGTAAGTGTGTCTGTTTTCTGACACCATCTTTGTCTGTTTATGGTGAGAAGTAAGAACCCAAGCAGAAGATGAGATTCTTTTGTCCCCTTATCATGTGCATTTCCACTTTCTCTGATGTGTCATCATGTCTTTTCCCAAGGAGAAGGCTAGATATAGATGATGAGAAATAGTTGATGGATTTCTTCTGTTCCTAAAGACCTTTCTTGCCGTTCCTAAATGGAACTCCCTTTCATGACTTTGATGTCATGTCAAATAAATTTCTGTTTTAGTTGCATGAAAACAAGTTTGATGCCACTAAATGAGCTAAATATACTGACTTGAAAAAGAAAAACCATTGTCACTGGGAAAAGACAAAGTTTCTCATTAAGTTGTTTTGTTGAATAATAAGAATCCTAAAGGAAAACTTCCCACTGTGCCACTTGTCAAACTTTCTTCTAATTTGAAATGCAATAATTGAATAATCTGGGAAAATTTATTTGAATTTGAAAATTGTCTATTCTCTTCTGAGGTTCTCTGCAGTCACTGTTTTGACGGTGGTTTTAAGTGGCTGTGGGGAAGACGTTGACGTGTGCAGGCCGTCGGCCATCCACTGTCGAGCTCGCTCTTCCCAGGGGTTACTAGTTGAGCTTGTGAAGCAGCACACTTAGAAGTAGCACACTTACTTAGCAGACGGAGTTGGTCCCTCCCCGTGGGGCAGTTCAAGTGTTAGCAATGCTTGATGCTCAGAGTGTAATTTCTTCCTAAGCTGTATTTGGTTGTATTTCGTGGGGTGACTGTTTTGCCTGCATGTAAGTATGTGTACCACATGTGTGCCTGGTGTTTTAGGTGGTCAGAAGAGGGCCTGGATCCCAGGAACTGGCGCTAGAGATGGCAGCGAGCTGCCGTAGGGGTGATGAGAAACAAAGCTGAGTCCTTTGCAAGAGCAGACAGTGCTCTGAACTTCTGCTCCATATCTCAGAGTGTAACTTTTCAATACACTTTTTGCACATACAGCTTGTGGCTTTTCGAGTCATTTTTTTTTTTTAATACTGTGGAGATAAGTTTATTGATGGTACTATAACCAAAAAATTATCTTGATTATTTCAAATGTAAATTTAGTGACAGTTAGGAATGTCATTGATTCCCCCACTTTATTCAGAAATTGTCATTTGGACCTGCTTCTTGGTTATACTGGCTAACTCAAGGATGAATGCAGAGATGAACTTTGCTAGTATTATAGAGTTACTCTGTCCTGAGGCTGTCTTAACCAATTTCCAGTGTGTACACTTAGCACAGTTATTTCATTGAAGCAGTAGTCCGTTTTTGGTTGTTGTTGTTCTTTTTTTTTTTCACTTTTACTGCAACCGTTAAATTTATTTCACAGCTCACTCTGGGAACACCAAGGTGCTCAGCTGCCCTTTTTAGTTTAGATACAAGGATGTGGTAACATCTCATTTGAAATCCTTGCTGAAATTGTGGAGACTTTTCTAGCTTTACCTGAGTGTTTGTTGCGGTTAACTCTCTTGCAGGACCTTCCCAGGGCGGTCCAGGTCCTCAGTATCCTAATTATCCTCAGGGTCAAGGTCAGCAATATGGGGGCTATAGACCAGCACAGCCAGGACCACCCCAGCAACCCCAGCAGAGGCCTTACGGGTACGACCAGGTATGTCACCTACCAGCTATGGAATCGCCGCATTGTTCTTCATCTCTCTGGACTTCTGTTGTTTGTTTGTTTGTTTTACTGATTTCTTAATCAGGATTTTACTGTGTTGCTCAAATGGTTTGGAACTCATGATCCACGAGCCTCAGCAGGGGTCATCACACACAGCCCCCTTCTGTTGTTTGCTAGTCACTACCCACTCCAAATAATACTTTAAAATACTTTAGAGTGCCAGCACAGTTCAGTAACAGTTGCCCTTACTTCTGACAGCTTGAGGTAAGACACCAGCTCATTGTCCTTGGGCACACTGGCCATCAGTGTCGCTCTAGTGTCCGCCATGTTTGTTAAGAGTGCACCTGAGCTGTGCGCTCCTCCGCCCCCAGTGCATCTCACCTGGCACACTCTACCTTTGCCGTTGGGTTTCTTTACATTCATCTTCCCTGCTTAGTCTTTCCTCTTGTTTGGAATCACCAAGTGTTTTCTCTACCCTGAGATGTCAAGTGTTGAAATGTATCTTATCCTAAGATACGATTCCCTGAAACCTGGTAGTATTCACCTGGGTTTTTCTCTTTTTAATCAGAATCTTTAGACTTTCAGTGTGTGCCATGGGCACTTAATGAATGCTGTCCTCGTTCTTGCTCTGACTTGCTATAGGAATGATTTATTGGCCATGGGATGTGTCAGGTTTGTGCAGTGGATTTTCAGTGAGGACATTTTGATATATTCACCACGTGAGGGTACCAAAATGAGTTTTGAACATGGAACTGTGTGTAGTTTGTAAATTAGGGATCTGAAGCTAGTGTAGGCGATGTTACAATTTGAAGAGCAGCCCAGATGCTGCATTAACCAGCATTAGTTAATAGAAGAAATTTTCTGCCCTGTCAGACCTGCAGCCCCCTGCACCTACACCTGCAGTAAAGGCAAGAGCTCAAGAGACCTACATAGAAGGACGTGGGCACATAAGCCCTGCCCACTGCTAAGCAGGGGCGGAGTAGGAGGAGATGACAGAAACTAGGTTTTACTTTTTTTTTTTTTGTCTTATTTTTATGGGTGCTTTGCCTGCATGCATGTCTACGCACTCTGTGTGTACAATGCCTGTGAAGGTCAGAAGAGCGGACTAGGTTCCCTGGACCTGAGTTAGCAGTGGTGGGGTCGGGGGTGAGATGTGGGTGCCGGGAATTGAGCCAGGTCCTCTGGAAGAGCAGCCGGTACTCTTTAACTGCTGAGCCATCTCTCCAGCCAGAAAAGTAAGATTGGAAAGTAAGATTATTCTTGAGTAGGTACGTTACCTTAAGAAGACCTGACGAGGGAGGGCTCTCGCGAGGGAGCCTGGCTGCTAAAAGCCCTTGCGACACTAGCAGAGAAGCCGAGTTCAGTTTCCAACCCCATGTCAGGGCACTGAGCCATCTGCAGTCCCAGCTCCAAGGGATCTGACTGCCATGTGGGCTGCATTGACGTGCCTGTAGCCATACACAGATACACACGGGTATATATAATTTAAGATAAGTTCTTTAAAAACTAAAAATCTTGGGACTGGAGGCCTCAGCAGTTAGGAGCAGTGTCTGCTCTTCCAGATGTCCCAAGTTCAATTCCTAGCAACCACATGGAGGCTCACTGGGATTGGGTGCCCTCTTCTGGCCTACCGGTGCACATGCAGATAGAGCACTCATCTACATAAAATCTTTTTTTAAAAAAAAAAAAAAAGAACCTAAAAATCTGATTAGCTAACTTGATTCATTCTAAACTGTGAACTAACAATGCAAAAGGTGAGACTCTGGTTACCCACCTGTTGTCCTTGTATGCTGTACAGATAAGACAGGTGGATGCTGAGGGCTTGTAGAGTAGCTGTCTGCAGCTTCCTGCTTCAGGCATTTGGCGCATGCTCCTTTTTCTCCCTTAGAGCTCCTTAGCATTTCTCTTCTGCTTCTCTGCCTTTGCAGCTCTTCTGCATCAGGGTCCATCTGAGTTTCTGGATAGAGAGCTTAAGGTGTTGGGTATATCATTGAGCGATCCAGCTTTACACTTCATCCTACACACGGCACCTTCTCATCTCATGCTTTTTTAGTTTGTGTGTGCTGTGTATTCGTGTGTGTTCATACACTGACCGAGGCAGGCTTTAATTTGAACACAGAGCATACCAGCACCTCTGTTCTAGCTAGCCAGCTTGCTGTAGGAGGATCCTTTGTGCCTCCAGAGTTCTGGGGTTACAGGAGGGCTGCCACTGCCCGTCCAGCCTCCGGTCTGTTTATTCTTAGGGGTAGATGGTTGTCAGGCAGCTTCTGTAGTTGAGGCAGATACCTTTACAGTGGGGGAATTGAGAGCAAACACTCTTTAGGTACTCTTGGGTTCTCATCTCTGTAACCAGTCCCTGGGGCTGACAACCCCATCATCAACACATACACCCTTTGTTTTTGTTTTCTTAGGTTGAGCATTGAGTAAAGCAACAAATCTCATTAACTTTTACTTCAAAATATATCTGGTAGCTATTTAATTTTCAAAACCTTCTCTTTCTCAAGCTAGCACTATAGCTGTCACCCATTTGGTCCCTGGGTCTGCTCTTCCTGGCTTAACTGATTCCGCTCTGCCCCGTGTAGAGGCTTTTCTCCACATGGGACCTGGGGCCATCTTTTCCTAACAGTAGCGAAGTCCGATACCTTCCCTTAGTGGAGTCTTCAGTCATGAGAAGGTTTAAGAGTTACCCTTGTATTGGGCCCCAATTGAGCCGACCACTTTCCAGTTCCCTGCCGTAGGGCTCAGCACTGTGTATGTGCAGCCTGAGGTGCTGGCCTCCATGTACTTCCTCAGTCACACGGGCCTCTCGCTCTTTCTGATGGGCATCAGGCCACCTCAGAACCGTCTCCTTCCTTCTGCCTGCAGTCCCTCTCACCTGGCTTTGTTGGGAGGCTTCACTGCTGTAGTAGTGAAGGCCCACCATTGGGTTATTTGGTCTTCCTTTCTGTATTTTGAAAAAGCAAGGGATAGTGAGTGATGTCTGTAATCTGAGCCCTGGGAAGATTGAGCACAGTGGCTCATTAGTTCATCTTCTGGTACATAGTGAGTTCAAGGCCAGCCTGGGCCACATGAGACTGTCTCAGAAAACACAAACAAAATCGCTTTCTTGTGGCTTAATTTACATGTAACAACTACACGTTTAAATTGTACAGTTTAATGTATTTTAACTGTATACATCTATGGAGTCATCAACAAAACCAAAATAATGAAATATCGTCAGGCTCCAAGGTTTCTGTGCCACTGTTAAAACCCCTGATGTATCCACCCTCCCCCTAGACATCCACTGATAGGCTTCCTGTCGGCGTGTACGAGGAGAGAGTAGTTCATGCTACCTGACTTCTTTGTTTACATATTTTAAATTTGTGTAGTGTGTGTGCTATTACATTCACTTGTGTGTACACGCTCACATGTGAGCACACTAGCACCATGGCACACGTGTGGAGATCAGAGGACGCTTGCAGAAGTCACTCTTTCCTTCCAACACTGCGTCCTGACCTCGGGTCTTCAGGCCTCGATAGCGAGCTGCTGAGCCGCCCTCAGGCCCCTTTGCAGTGAGTTGTGTACGGTGTGCTTCGGTCATTAGTGCCTCACTTCACACATGCACGGGGAGTACCCACCGGTGCTGAGACTGCTCTGTTCTAATTAACCAGTAGTTAACTCATTTTGAGGCTAGCTTTCACCATATCTTGGTCTCAGACGTCTAGCCTGAAGCAATCCTCTTTGGCCTCCATGGTGGCTTGGACTACAGGCATATACCATGGCCCTCTGCTCCCTGTGAAAACCTTTTCTCATGGCCTCTCTTATTAGGATCAGAATAGATACGAGGAAGGATTAATATATATAATCCTTGTTGGAAAGGAAATCGTGATGTGGAGATATAGCGTATCCTTTCTCAGCTCATGGGTAAAGAAACTGAGTCTTAAAGAGAAGGCATAAAGGTAGCAGCAGGGTTAGCCTGAATTCAGTGTTGGGCTTAGGCTCCATCACAGTGGAACAGTGGCTGTTACCAGTGTTAATCATTTAAAAATGTTCTGATGTCTAGTTATGTATATGCATGTGGGTCTGTGTGTGTGTTTCTCACGGAACCTACATTTCATTTTGATTACACTGGCCATTAATTAAACTTTTGAGATTTACCTACTCTCTCTGCCATCCCCAACCCAACTCAAGGGTTACAGGTGTGCTACTAGGTCCAGCTTTGAAGTGTCAATCCTTCAAGTAATGTAGAATTTAAGAACCATATGTAGTTGAATATAATCCCAGGAAAGTTAGAGTGGTAATATGTAAGTATTTGTACTTACCCTGATAGGATGACATGACAAATTACATTTGTCATTTTCTGTGGTAAGCTGTTATGTAATTCTGTTTCTTAATTTTATCTTTTAGGGACAATATGGAAATTACCAGCAGTGAAAATGTCCTTACATTCCAATAGCCAGTATCTGTTAGCAGCCATATTGTCACAACCTCTGCACTGTGGACACCTCCCTGTGAAGACTCCCTCCATCCCACCTAGCTTTTGGAAAACTCTTCGCCTAAGCGGCTGCTTCATCAGCAAGCAGCCTTGTGGTTTAGTTTGTAAGGCTTTAGTGGCTACCAGATACACCCAATTTCACATTTCTACTCTAGATGGCAACATTGGACAGAAAATGCATTGGCATAAGTAATTTGCAGCGATTTCGGAACTGTGTTCCAAATGGACTGTCAGAGACTGAAAGGTGTGAACAGTGTTGTCTGTTCACGAAGGTTGAGGGGGTTTCATACTTTTCCAGATTATTTTGTAAGGGGAAGGGGGAAATGTACACTTTTTACAGCAGCAATATTTTGTATATTATGTTTATTTCATGTGATGAATATGCAAGTCGGTACACTACACACTGGGCAGAATCAGAAATCCTGTTACTGTGGAGTGTGGCAGATGCTGGTGGTTGCGGTGCTCTGTGAAGACGCAGGTGAGGGAGGACAGAAGCACACATGTCCACTGTCAGTGCTTGGAGGGAATTCGCTTCTCTTACCTACCAGCTTAGCAAGGGCACTGTGATACAGTTTTTAAGTACAAAGACTTTTTTTAAAGCCTTCCAGTTTTGTGCGTTAAAACCTTTTTGTAAAGATGATTTATAATACTGTTTTCCAGTGTAAGGCAATAATTGTGTTCCTTCTGTGAACTCTGGCAGGTTGGTGTAAATGAAGCGGGAATCCTCTCAAAGCAGCAATAACTGAAAAGGAGAAAGCCTTCGTTTTTACCTTGTTTGAGCAATCAGGGAGCTTTCTGAGTACAGTCAACACGTTGTCAACCACAGCAAAGAGGAGTCAGTGTTGATCTGCTAGTATTATTTTTTTAACATTAGCATAATTGGTTCATGGAGAGTTGTGTTTTAACTTTCTTAATTGGAAATAAGTAAAGGGGCACCTTTGTGTTCCTGTCTTCATCTTAGTTACTATAACAGCAAAAAGCTATGATGGCCATTTCTGATTTAGATTGAAAGCCTAGCGGTTGTATTTTACGGTTCCTTGTTTTTTAGCACAACATACTTAATCATTATTTGAGACAGATTGTTTTAGCTAAATTTGGGTATATTGCACTGGGCAAGAAAGCATGCACTGAGAGATTTCTAAATATCTATTTAAGCATACTTTGAAAACATCTAGCCCAAAGGTAAGTTGCTGTGTCCTCACAGCTGTCTATGTCCAGGGAATATGACAGTATAACACATTCTTTGTAAATGAATTTGTTTATGCCACTTCTAACTAGAAACAGCACAGAAGGAGTGCCGTAAATTCAAAAAAGCAAAGCATACTGCTCTCAGCATACTGTAATCAAAGGAGGGTTTCAATGTGTCTGTATGAGAGAGTGTGTGTTTTTAAGGTCAGAATATAGGGTGTTCTTCAACTTGTTCAGTAGAAAGCAGGCGTAAGTGTGAACAGATGAGGTCAGGCAGCCTCCGACTGCAGTGCTTGCAGCCTGGGCCAGGCTCCCGGCCACCGTGTGCTTCGTTGCTATTTAAAACTGTATCAACTCTAACAGAAGAATAAATTATTTGTGATTTTAATTTTCTCATTTGTTTCTTTAAATTAGATCTCTTTGACTCGTATTGTTTTGTCTGGAGACTGTACTCTGGGTTTTTATGTAAGTTAGTCCAGCACAAATAGACGATATTTGTAATCTAGGACTTGATCAAAATTCTCTTGCCATGCCCAAGTTAATTAGAATTAACTGTTCAGTAATCAGCGTGCTGTGTAGGCTGTTTGTTGCAGAATTCCTTCTCTGAAAATGAAGTCCATGAGGCTATAATCAAGATGACTGAATTAGATAAATGAGTTGAGGAGACAAAATTGTGCCGATCCCAACCTGGTGGAGATACGTTATCTTATTTGAAATGAGCTCAACTGACATTAAGAAATAATTTGTCTTGCCAACCCATCTTCTGTTGTCTTAGTCTCCTTTAATGGAAACTAAAATTGCAATTTTAATAAGCAGAATTTCCTCCAGGACTTTCTTCCTGGAGACTGGTGCATTTGCAAGGTTTAATTGTTTTATAACAGTCGTATTTCGTAAAAGTTTTTAATTGGTGGTGACAAAGATTACCTTACTCCTTTGGTGCTTCTGAGAACAATAACCTCACCAGTAGCTTTTCTACCAAAGTTGACATTTTCATATAGAAAAAAAAGTAAAAAATTTATTTTTTCAAGTGAATTATAATATTACATTATCCCATAAAATCCAAGAATAAAATCCTAACAAAAATAACATGGCTGTTGATAAACTCCGCAGAATAGTCAGGTGCGCTAATTCCATTGTGAGCAACATTAGCGTCATTCTGCAGCTTCATTTCACGCCAGGGCGCAGAGAGTGGGGACCTGTGCTCTCCCCCGCATCACCCACTCATTCACTTAGCATGGGAGCTGCTCTGTCTGTACTGCTTCTCACAAGCAGAGACAAGCACTGTTAGCTCGTAAATATTTCAGTAAGGACCTGATGATTTTCGTTTTTACAAAATGCCTTGGACTTTGAGGACTCTTCTCCTGAAATTCTGTTTTCAATAGTAAACTTCAGTAAGATCAACATTTCAGAATCTGCATTTAGACCGCTGTTTCTTCTTTTACGTCAAAAGATTAACAAGTAAGTTACTTAAAAGTGAACATTTTACATAATTTGTCCCGTGAAAGATAGTAATTATTAAAGATCTAGTAGAGTTTTTCTACTTGAGTTTTGACATGTAGTCAACGTATATAACTATGTTCTCATTTTTGACGAGAGAATTGTGCTTTATTGTTTTGTAACTTTTTTCTTTTCTTTTTTTTAAACCTAGGATGTTCCTTTCTGAGTTGCCTTTTAGGTTTTTTTTTACAGTTTTCATCAATTATCCAGAAGAGTTCTTTGTACGTTTGGGCACTTTATGTACACTCCACTTCTCATATGCTAGCTTCATGTGTATGTTGGTCTTTTGTCTTTTTGCTGTCTTACACATCTTTTTATCTGCTGCTTTAAGAATTTTTGATTGTGATATCTTTCACTGTACTAAATGTTTTCTGTAGAAAAAAGTATCTTTCACTCTCCCTAACTTGGAAATTTGTATAAATATTATTTCTATCTGCTTTCATTTTAAAATTTTACTTTACTTGCTATGAATTAGGGCATTAACTTTATATATGTATATGTGTGTGTGTGTGTGTGTGTGTGTGTGTGTGTGTGTGTGTGTGTATATATATATATATATATCCAACTAGTTAATTTATTAAGTAATTTTCTTACAGTGATTGGCGATGCCATTTTATTGCTTTTGTAAAGCAATTTTATATATAAGGTCTGTTAAATATTCCATTTCAGTGACTAAATAGAACTACTTAATTGCCACAAAGCTAAATTGTTCTTTTCATATATATAAATAAATATATATATATTGAATATATATCTAATATATATTATAGATATATATCTAATATATATGAATATATCTAATATATTATATATCTATATATAATATATTTATATATAATATAACAATATATAATATATAATATTAATATATAATATATTATATATCTATATATAATATATATTAGATAAATATATAATGTATATAATATATAACTTATAAATATATAATATATATCTATATATGTCATATATATATATTAGATAAAAAGTTATTTGTAGCCGGGCATGGTGATGCACACCTGTAATCCCAGCACTCAGGGAGGCAGAGGCAGGTGGATCTCTGTGAGTTGGAGGCCAGCTTGGTTCACAAAGTGAGTCCAGAACTGCCAGGCTAGACAGAGAAACCCTGTCTCGAAAAAAAAGAAAAAGTTATTTGTAAATTCACTAGCTTCCTAACAGTAAGAATCATTCAGATATTTTATATAATCTAGAACATGTTAAAATTTATCATTTGTTGAAACTTAGAAACTCTTGATTTTTTTTTCCATACCCTGCTAATTAATTATCTTTATAGAGGCCTCAGAGTACCTCTATTGGCTTACTAAGAAAAAAAATTAAGAAATCAATAGAAAATCTTTTTTATTATTTATTAGTTCTAGTCTCAGAAGGAGATGATGCAATATAATTTCCATTAGTTCAGTAGCATCCAGTAAGCAGGGAGAAGGGAATATTTTACGTATATACACATTTTTATATAAACACAGTGTATATGTACCTGTATTGTGAATGTGCATGTATGTTTTGTATCTGTGAGCAAAAATATTTTTCTTTTTAATGTTTTGGGGCTAGACAGATGCCTCAACAGGAGCACTTGCTGCTCTTCCAGAGGATGCAAGTTTGATTCCCCTGTCATGTGGCTCACAATCACCTGTGTATAACTCCCCATCCGAGGGACCCGACATCTTCTGGCCTCGGTGAACCACTCTGCCTGGGACAGCCTCTCGTACAGACACACACGCGCGCGCGTAAGATCAGTCTTGGAAAATTATAGCATTGTCCCAACAAGCTCCATAATTGGAGAATGTTGGTGATTGTGATGGCTTTACAAAGCTAGCGTCATTTGGGAAAAGGGACTCTCAGAGGAGAAGCTGTGCTATAAGATTGACCTGGGGGCAAGTCCAGAGTGCATTCTGTTAAGTGGTTGTGGGTGGTGCCGCCCTTGGGCTGGTGCTGTTGGCTGCTGGATCCTGGACTGACAGAGTGGTTGGAGCCCCTGAGCGCTTCTAAGCTTGTCCTGCGCTCTCTGTCACGTGAGTGGGATGCCTTGATTCATAGATTTGCCCAATTTAAGAATGCTGATAACACATACTAAATAGTTATAGCATTTTTGAAAACTGTATATAACTTCATGAACAGCAGCCTGCTTTATTTATTTGGTGGAGTTCTGTGTGAGATCTCAAAACCTGTGACATTTTTCGATTTTATTTTGGCTTCTGCTACACTCTTACTCTCTTCCAAATCTTTGCTGTTATTAACTGTTTGGCTTCCCCTGTCAATGTGTGCATTTTGTAGATCATGTGTCAACTTTTTAAGAAGGGGGATTATTCACATTTAAATTTATAGCTAGATAGGGTACTTAAGGTCTATAAAAAGTTGTAAAGTTGAGGCAGAAGGAGTTTCAAGCAAGTTTTGGCTATATAGCCTCAGAGGGGAAATGAACTTAATAGTGGAAAAATACTTTTGAGGTAATGTAATTTAAGACTTAAAGGTGACCAAAATATTTGTGTAGTTCTCCAATACTTTACCTTCTTCCCTATCCTTAGAACTATACTAGAGAATGCTGTCAGTGCTCAATAAACTAAGAGAAGGAAAGTGTGGTGGGAACATTCCTTTCAGTCCTAATATCACTCCACATACCCTGTCCTGCCTGCTAATTTCAGTCTTCCTTTCCCTCCCAAGATCTTGCTTCACAGCAAGCTTTTCATACTTGAGGCTCTCCACGTTAGTCCTCAGTCCTCATCCCCACATAAACACAGCCATTTTGAAAACATGAACTGATATTAATTACCCCCTTGGCACCAAAAAGTCAGGATTTCCTGATGCGGCACACTAATGTAGAATGCATTAGCGCCAGCGCTGGCTCCGAGGGGTAATACTCTCTAAATAAACACAGCGATGTTTTTCTGTATTCACGACTCTCAGGCTCTTCTCTGAGTCATTCATCCTCTTCACAAACACCACCCCCGTAAAAAGCTTTTGGAGTTTTAGTAAGCTATGACCGGGTTTTCATAAAAGGGAATCAAATTCAGGCAGCACATCAGAAGCGCTTAACTCTTCTTTGGTTCGGTGAAGTAAACTCTACCTAAATGTGCTAATGATTAAATGCTTTTGAGCTGCAATCTATCATTAGATGATTCTAGTTAATGTTCAGTTACCAATGTCACCAAAAATGTATTTTTCACCTGTGGGCTTAATAATTTGTAGACAGAACAAGAAGCCAATGGTTGTGTTTTGGTTTGTTTAGGGGTGTGCGTATGAGTATGTGAGTATACCATAGGTGGCAGGGTTTGATTGAGGGCGCTTCCTTGTACTGGTTCATGCTTTCCAACAATGGTGTGACTACTGCTCCTTCCTGCGGCTGCTAATGGGGAAAACTAGGAGAGCCAGACACAGCCAGGCTCAGATAAAGCCAAGCATCTGTGTGGACCAAAGGGACATGGAAATGTAAGCAGCAAGAAAAGTCAAACCACTGGTTATAAAGCTTATGGTGGCACTTGGGGAATTGTCCGCCATAGAGACTAAAATCCTTACTTGGGGTCTGATGCTTGGGCCAGGTCTGCACTAAGGCTAGGACTGCTGTGTGGCTGTGCAGCTTTCTTCCCTTCTAAAAGAGAAGCTAGTTATCAACTACGTGGGCCTGTTTTGACCAAGTGGTGCCCAGAGATGGAGAAGGTGGAGACCTAGATGGAAGCAGGCTCTCCCGGAGCCGGGGTATTGCTGTGAGGTGTGGGCAGGGACGAGGGTGGTTTTGAGTTGAGTGTTAATAGTACAAAGTAGCTGTCATCACTTCCTTGCTCTGCCTTCAGAAAGCATTGCCATTGGTATTCCTGGTATGGTGAGATAATCCCTAAAAGTCTTTAGGGAAACAGCTTCTCAAAGATTTGGTTCTGC